CCCATAGACCATCTACTATTGTGTTTAAAAATGGTATGTTTTGATTTGTCAACCAGTCTTGGATATTTTTTTTTGTCCATGCATTGTTGGGCACTTTGTTGAATATCATGCTGTGATAAGGGGCGTTATCCAGTATAATCATAGATGGACTCTCCAATTTTTCTAATAACTGATGTTGAAACCATTTCAAAAAATTGTCCTGGTTCATCTCTCCATGGTAATCGCTCAATTTTGTTTTCGAAGAAAATATCGCTTCACTACCCTCAATAAACCCATTTTCATTTCCAGCATGTAATATAATGTATCTAAAATATATTAGTTTTAAATTTTATAGTGCAAATTGTGTAAAAGTACATACCTTTTACCATCTGTTTTAATAGCTTTCACGCTTTTTTGGTTTCCATTTTGCCAAGAGCGACCTATGGTCCCATTTTGAAATATCCAAGTTTCATCGAGGAAGACAAACTGGTATAAGGCCTCAACCTTGACTTAAATCCAAGATCTCTAAGCAACCGCCTTAAAGACGTGGCACTACCATCAAATAATGCCCTATCTCTTAATCGAGACCATAAAGTTTTTATCGTAACTTGTTCTTCTGAAACCATGTGTAATATGACATTATAATTTAGTTAACAAATTAATGCAAATTTCTGATAAGTTATTATAATAAGATCTTACTTTTGTGATACATATTATAGATCACTTCTCGAATGGCACTTGTATCCAATGTCGCTGTGTTGGTTACACGTTTAATATAACTCCGCTTTTTCTTGGGCGATTCTAAATTTGCATCACTTTTCACACCCTCGGAAATACGACTAACTGTCCTTAAACTAATTTTTAAAGCAGCAGCAACACGCTACAAAAAATGAAATAAAATTTCACTATTATTAATATACATTACATATAATTATTAGTAACCTACCTCTTGAACAGCATTTAAAGGCAACAAAGGCCCGTTGTTGTCCCTTTCTTGCTCAAAGTAGTGCATTAACGAGGCCACGAGTTCCTTACACCGACTATTTAACTGTTTGGGCATCTTTATATACCAAAATTGCCTTTATCTACTCGTAAAATGAGTAATTTTGTTTTGAAACAAACAGTTGTTGATTTACAGTATGCGTGGCCAAAGGATTTATAAAGATTTGAAATGCCACAAATTGATTCAGTGTCAAAATTAATACAAATGTCAGTTCCCAGTTTAAATAAGTTTCAAGGTGACAATGTGTCAACGCTGCGAAATCGGTTTAGTGCGTTTACATGTCGATAAGTGATTGGAGCGTTTGCAAAACATTTTATTTCGCATAATGCGTCTAAATTTATCAGAAAGCAACTTATGTGATATTTTAATAACAATGTTTATATGACTATTAACCATAATAAGAGAGTAATGACCATTTTACAATTTATATATCACATTAATATGAAACTGCAATAGAGCAATTGTTTGTGATAGAAACCTAGGCATTAGGTCGGGGAATTTTTATCGTGATGACGTGCACGCCACTTTGTTTGGCGTTGACTATATTTCTTTTGCAACATAGCTAACATTTAGGCAAAAACAAAAGAAATGATTTTTTTCTACAAACGAAATTGAAATTTGTTTAAAAAAGAAGACATACAGTTGGATATACTTAAAACTAGCTTTACAATAAGTGTTCAAATAAATTCCCATTTTGTTGGATACAGAGTCTCGCTCGACGAACTAATAACTGCGTAGCACGAAAAGTGGAAAACCTTTTTCTTATAATGGATTTAGGTCAGGTGAACGTGGCGGCCACGCTATAGGGCCTCATCGGCCTAACCACCTGTCTGGAAAATTGACATTCAACTAATTTCGAACATTGCTTCCAAAACGCGCAGGGGCGCCATCATGTTGAAAAAACATATTTTCTTGAAACTGCTAGCGCACATCCAATGGTATTATATCCATGACCTCATTCTGAAGAAAGTTCAGATACACCTCTGAATTAAGACGATTGGGAAGTACAATAGGCCTAATTACTTAATCTCCAATTACTCCTGTCCATAAGTTCAATGAAAATCTATGTTGGAAATTTGTACGGCGAACAACTTTTGGATTTTCATCTGACCAGTGATGCATGTTATGGAAATTAACAGCACCATTCCTAGTAAATATTAACTCATCTGACCATAATATTCTAGGAATAGTGTTTTCATGTGCTAATATCCACTGGCAAAACTCGATTCGTGGTAAAAAACCTGCCTCCGTTAAATGCTGTACCCTTTTAAAATGATAAGGATGTAATCCTTGCATTCTTGTCACTCTTCCTATCTAAAATTATTATTTCTAGGATAACAATCAAATAGGTATTCATAAATTTTTCTTACTATTGATCGAGGTATATCCATATTTTCTGAAACATTTCGTATGCTTATTTGCGGATTATTTTCAAACATATTTAAAGCAATATCCATACGATGATTTTCCAGTGGCCTTCCTGAGCCCTGCATGCGCTGAAAACTTCCATGTTTTGCCAAATTCCGGTGAATATCAGTAAACATTCGACGTCCAGGTGCTTATGCGATTGGGAAATCTTCTTTGATATTCTCTTACGGCTGCCAATGAACTGCCATTGCAAAACTCGTACACAAAATGCATGTCAGTCAGTTCTCTGTTTTTAAATCTTGGCATTTTAAATTGATTTAATAAAATTTTTATTTTGATCTAGTAATTTTAGACTGCCAACAATGTCAGCTTAACGTCAAAATAAGTCATAACAAATCAAAACAACTTTTGTTTGCAGTCATGGCTAACTATGTATAATCAACAATTCATTTAAATTCGCAGTGCATTTCCTATCATGTGACAATTTTTTAGTTTGATGTTATTCAAAAATGGCACAATTTGTCGATATTCAATAAGAGTACCTTTTTTATGTAGAAAACTCTAAATTTTCAAATTCTAAAATTCAATTTCAATAATAGAATCACACAAAAATTTTGGGGCTAAAATAACCCCCTGTTACATACGCTTCCAAGCAAAACTGTCTAAAATTGTTAATATTTTTAAATCCAGCATAAAAAACTAGGCTAGGATACCAAATTTTATATCTTTATCTCAACACCTTTCGGAAATATTAAAGAAAAACCATCTTCAGGGGAGCCCCTTTAAAAGATCGTAGTGCCCTTAGGGGACGTTTGTCGACCTATATTTATATAAACTTTTCTTCCTATTTTAAGCTCTAGAAACCGCTGGTAGAATATTGCACACTTTTTTCGGGACACCCTGTATAGATATTCCTGCTATGATTTGCATTTGCAGATGCTACAGCATTAATTGCAACTAACAAAGATCTATTAAGATCTGAAGTACTGGCTGCTATCAATAATTTAGTGAAATGGATCCAGGGGTGGAAAATCAAACAAATCAAAAAGAAGAGCTCCGCTACAATCAATATCATTGGTTAAAAGGAAGGTCCTCAAAAATATCAGTCCATAACAAATTTTTAATACACGGGCAACAAAACCACTCGAAAAATAAAAGTCATTTATCGTCTGCTGATTGTTTGGATGGACTTTTTTCTTGCAAGCCAGTGGACATAACCATTTCGAGAAATCATACGGTCATCATCGTAATTTTCACGAAAAAATGAGAGTGAACATTCCTAGCAGGTTTACACAATTATGACGCATTCGCCCATTATAAAACGATCCATAATTAAATTCAAAAGTCCCTAAACGACACGTGCGCAATATAATAATAATAATAATAATAATGATAATAATTAACGTCTTTTATTTGTAATATTCTTACAGGAGGCGAGATTTAGATTATATATCTATTCTACCATCTAACCCCCTTAACAATACGAGATGTAAAAAAAAAATAATAATTTATTGAAAATTAATAGGCACCTGTACGTATATATGTATACAATAACGAATAATCCAAGTAAATACATAAGGAAAATATGAGGACACTTATGGGTTACAACCGACTTCGCTGCTGATCAAGAAGAACTTCTTTCACTTTTTTCTTGAATTTGGATAATGGATTGGTTTCTTTTAAACTGCGGTCTAAAGAATTATATGATTTGATCGCATTGTAAATGTATGAATTCTGAAATAGAGACGTGCTGTGGCGTGGAATTGAAAAAGTCTCTCTATATCTAATATTAATACGATGCATATTCCCTCTACGTATGAATTTGTTTACTAAATATGACGGTGTTTTTGAATAAAGAACCTTATGAGTCAGATTTAGGAGCTGGTACTTATACATTTTATCAATTTTCATCCATTTGAGTTCATTAATGGCATTCGATATATGATCGTATTTTCTGAGATCATTTACAAGCCTGCAACATGTATTCATAATACTTTGAATACGATTTCTTGTTATAATATCTAAATAGGGATAGTAAACCACTAAGCAATACGATATCTTTGAAAATACGAAATATTCACACAATTGCTTTCTCGCAGATTTATGTAATATAGCCTTATTTGCAAATAAAACTCTGAGAATAGCGTAGCACTGCGTAATTAGATAGTTCACGTGTGCAACAAATTTTAAGTCATCATCCATTATAATACCTAGGTTTTTCGAATGATCCACAGAAATTAATTTATTACCTTTTAAATGTATGTCTATGTCATTTTTTAAGGTATTCTTTTTTGTTCTATTTGCGTATACCAACATATTTGTCTTTAAAGGGTTCAAACGAAGATTATGACTACTATTGAACTTTTCAATTTGGGCAAGATCTTGATTAATTTTATTATTTGCGGTTTCTAAGTCATTACTCCTAAATGAATAGAAAATTTGAGTATCATCTGCAAAAAATTGTATGGTGCATGATTTTACCTCTGTTTCTAAATCTGAGATATATAATGAACATAATAGCGGTCCTAAGACTGGCAGTAGACTGATCGGTCTTAGTTGACCATAGTTAGTAGGATCAGAACACTTAGGTAGCGGAATAACTATAGCGCGTTTCCACTGATTGGGGAAATATCTCCTCTCTAAACAGCAGTTTATAATATGCGTTAAGTAGACATCAATTTCAGGTATACATAGTAGTATCATATGCAAAGTTATTTCATCTGTACCACTAGAATTTGATTTTATTTTATGTATAATTTTAACAACGGTGTCAATAGTCACTTTATAAAATTGAAATTTGAATTTTGAGTTATTTTTATTAGCTCGGTAATATGCAATTTTATCAGCACAAGCCAAATCACTATTCTCGAAAATTGAAATGAATGCCTCATTTATTTTATACGGATCGGACAAGCTCACGGGAATTGTAGAATCTTTCTGAGATTGTACTTTGAAAGTCTTTAGGGTCTTATAAAACTTTTTTATATCCTGATTTTGAACAGCTTGTAAATAATCTCTTTTTCCTCTTCGCACGAGCGTTAATGCACGATTTCTGAAATATGTATACTGTTGCCAAGAGGCGGCTGTACGATCACGTTTGAACTTTGACAAAGCTTCAGCCCTCTGCCTGAATACAAGTTTAATATTATCATCCAACCAAGGAGCTGGAGCTTTGTTTACACGCACTACCTTTTTTGGACAGTGAACATTAAATAAGCATAAAATACTATCTGTTAAAAAGTTAATTTTATCTTCAATGTCATCTATCGATATAATATGCCACCATGGAAAACTCTTGAGATCTTGTTCAAACGCTATTTCATTTAAACTATGGAAATCCCTGAATGTAACAAATTTCTGTTGATTTTTAGGAAGTGCAATACGTATATCACAGAAGGCTAAATAGTGATCAGTAATCATATCAGCATTAATAGTGCCACTCCTAAGACAACTTTCAGGCTTGCTCAAATAAATAGGATCTAAGAGAGTGAGTGTCGATTCAGTTATTCTAGTCGGTTCAGATATCACCTGTTTCAGATTATAAGAATCAAGGCATTTAGTCAAGTTGTTACAAACTAAAAGCAAATTAACATTGATATCCCCTGCAAGGATGATATCATCATATTCAGCTAATATGGCAGGCAACATGTTATCAAAGGTATTACCGGCTTCTGTAACAGAGCTATGTGCGGGCCGATAGAGTATACCAATAGCAATTTTTTGTTTTGGAAGCTGCACCTTCAACCATATATATTCAAGACTTGGGTCTTGCCCAAATGAAATTATGGAAGAGTTGTAGTGGTTGTTTACAAAGACTGCAACCCCACCACCTCGCCCATCTCTATCACAGCGATAGCAGTTGTATCCATTCATTCTTATATGGTCATTAGATATATCTTTTGATAGCCACGTTTCCGATATTCCAACAATATCAAGGTTGTTGTTTTGAACCAGTGTACTAAATTCATGAAATCCTGATAAAACTGACCTGCAGTTTATATGGCCAAATATTAAAACCTTGAATTTATCACTATTCATATTCAATTCTAGATTTCAAGTATGTAACATATCCAAGTCTTTAGAAGAATGACTAGTATCAAATTGAGTGTTGAATTTAGAATTGTGATTCATACAGTTTGAACAATTCTTAAAAGCAGATTTACAATTTTTTTCCAAATGATCTCCAGCACATAAAGGACATGATACTTTAGAATGTATGCAATTTTTTCCATGTGGTCAAAACCTGAACATTTATAGCAGCGTATAATTCGTACATAATCCCGCACAGGACATCTTTGCCAACCCATGTATATATGACCTCTATCTAGCAACGTTTTTCTAAATTTTGGGCTAACCTCAATGACAACATTTAAAGTAGATTGGGAACATCTGAAAGTGGTTACAGTTTTTATATCATCACTACTGAAAATACCAAATTTATTCTGGGACAAGATCTTCTCGATTAATCCCTCAGATTTTGTGTAGGCGCATTCTACATTATTTATCACCATGCGTGGGCGATATTTCTTGATCTCATTGACAGTGAAGTTCGCACCGAGTTCTCCCTGTATACTCGCCATCAGCTTGGACATTGATGCTTCATTTTCGCAGCTAAGAATGATGCCATTATTCACCCTCCTCACAGAGTTCACACATAACATGTAGGTCAAGTCGTTGAGTACATTCAAACCTTGAAGTCTTAATTAGGATACACTCTATAATTGAGGAAGTAGAATATATCTGTTATTCCAGCTACTTCAGGAAAGCGCCTATGCCAGTCGGCATAAATGCCTGTAGATCCGTAACCACAGAAATCGGCCTAAACCTGCTGCCCGGCCAAGCTTGACTGATCCGAATGATAACGTCTAGGCAACCAGCAGCGGCTCTGCAATGTGGAGCGCTCCAGAGATAGGATTCTCAGACTGTGAAACGCGATTGTATATGCAATTTGCCTTATATTATCCAAATAGATACTGCAAATGAATCGATAACATTATTCGGAACGCTGTAGCGGTGCGGCAACACCAGAGACGTCCACGGGAACAAGAGATATTCAATTCTTGCAATGTGTGATTTATTTAAAGGAAATAGGTATAGATATTAAAAATAACTGTTCCTGGTGACAATTATGTCAGATATGATGTTGTTTATTTTCCAAATGTTAACTGTTACTGGTGACCCATTTTGTAATTGCAATGTTCGATGGCATACCCGTTCGTTTCGTTTGGCGGATAACGCAAGTAATGCTGATTTTCAATTAATCGAACCTACTCTCTTATCCATGTGGACGTATCCCTAAAGGAAAAATCTCAAAAAGTTGCTCATCGAATTTTTGTCGCAGTAAAGCTAAGCTTCAATTAGCGGTGCGCCGTCTTGTTGGAATCAAATATTTTCAAGATCGCGGGCTTAACATAGTGTGAAATCGGAATTTGATATTCTCCAACTTTATAATTGACCGTAGTAAAAGCAGACGAGTTGATTGCCAAGAATGGCTTCGTTTCTTCAATCATAAAGATAATCCGATGAGCTGACGGTTTTCATATATTTTTTTTCTTTTGAAAAATGTGGGTCTAACGGTGGATTTCACAATTTAACAAACCATTATTCTGCACCAATAGGGTACGAGTACCAAACAGTCCATTAAATATACCCAATCAGCATCAAGATCTCTCCGTCAAATTTTTGGCAGCAAATAGCATCAAAGTATTCAAAACAAAACACTGTAAAATATGAAGTGACAGCTTGCCATTGAAATCTTTTCAGTTTATTAAATATTATGAAATTACGTAAAACTGAGCCAAAATTTTTAAAAATGCTTGATGTCTGAGTAAAATCTATTTTTTCAGATTAGCTGAAAGTTTTTCCATGTTTACTGCAACTTTTGTAATCCATATGTGATTATATCACCTACTGTGTGCTTATAGTTTATCCTATATTTGCAAACTTGCACTTCCAAACCCTTACATGAAAAAGCCTTTTCACTCAAATTTTTGTTAGGTGTTGCATTTCAACAGATTCATACACTTCTTTCCGGTTCCTCAACGATATTTCAACCCCACTGGTCCGAAACTGTTCAACAGTTTCAACATTCATATATACAATTGCAATAGCAGTTTTTTGTTTTAATTTCAGTGTATAATCAGTCGCACCATCGGTGATGGTACATTCAACATAACCACGTATTTAGGGGTTCGTGCAGATTTAACGTGTACACGACGTCATCATTAGGCCCTCCTCTGGCGATGTCCGATTGCGTTCAGGTGCCATCTGCAGGTACCTCTTCACCACGGTCAGGAGTTGATACCGGCGCGGCTCTCTTTTTTTTGCTCTAGGCATGGCCCACAAAAAATAAGTCCAAGGCAGAAAAACACACCCGAAGACGAATACCAAAACAAATCTCTACCGCAAATTCGTCAACAACTCAAACAAAAACAACAGATGATTCACCGCCTGGCTTTGACCGTAAATCGTTGTGGGACACGAGACACCACAGAATTATTATAATTACGTCAATACGAGCATAGAACAGTATAGAAAGAGCTATCCAAGGGTAAGACGAGTTCCGCAACCACCCGAATCATGTCAAAAAATGGCTGTGACGTCACCAAAACGTTTGACCACCACTGGAAATCACTAGCTAGTTACCATCTGGCGGCGTGACATGTGGAGAACACTGGTGTAGAAACAGCTGATCCTTAAATTCGGTTACGTTAAGTCGTGCATGAGCCCGACATTATTTTTCAGTAATTACTAATAATTTTAGGTCTATGTATACAGTAATTGCATCATGCACCTCGGAGATGTAGGGATTAACATGTTTTACACATATCGGTGTTTTAGGATGGGGACGACATACTGTTTTGATTGCTTTGAAGAAATTCATTAACCCATGAATTTATAACAAATGATTACTATTATGATGTAAAGAGAGAATGAGGAATTGGTTGGAATACATTTTATATTCTATTTTCTTGCAAATCCGCACAATTCAACAGGTATGTGTAGCTATAATGACAGTATATTGAACTTAACAAATTTCGAGATTGCCATGAATTAACAAACGACCAAACCTGCTGCCAAATTTAACAGCTAGAAAATCAACCTATTATTTCTCCCATTCCCATTCGCTGAGGGGATAACGGATGGTCAAATGTACACCTATAACATAAATCAAAATACATGAAAGTTGTCCTGTTTTCTCTGTATAAAAGCATCATGTTGGAATCAAAAAGTGGTCTTGTTTGTAATACAGTCGAATTTTCACGATTTTATTCAACATTTTAATAGAAATCACTGATATTCTGAGACCTTTGACAGCTTCCGTCAAATTGCATTTCGATAAGGTATTTTCCTATTGGTCCATAATAATAATGTTGGTGAAATCGGCCCTAAATGAATCATATGTTATGATCGGATTTGGCATTATTCGATGAAAATTGAAGTAGATGTCTTATGGGGATTCGGTCTCAAAACTTCCAAAATCCGCCACCAGAGGCGCTGGCGTCGCGCGCCATTGACAGGTTGTTGGACGGAATCTGTAATCGAAATTCATGAGTTGGGGATTCCGCCGCTAGATGGCGCTGTCAAACCAAACGGAATCTGTGTGTCATTGGACACCTGTCATGCGTCATTGGGCATCTCACGCATAGATGGCGTTACACGTCATCTGTCATACGTCATTGGACACCTGTCATTGATGGGTTGAGCATCTCGCGCATAAATGGCGTAGATTTGTTTGGCGGTGTACAAACCTAACGGAATCTATGCGTCATTGGACAGCTGCCATTGATGGGTTGGGCATCTCGCGCATAGATGGCGCCGATGTCGCACCTGTCTGGTGTTGGCGTGGATTACGGGGGGCAACGTGTATACAGGGGTGCATCGAAAAATAGCGGATCGATGGACCGACGGTATATCGTTAAATCGTATATAGCAAGGCGTGACCTAAATAGCGTGGTGGGCTCCTCTGGTCGGTCGGTCGGTCGGTCAGAATGTCTCATAACCTGTATACGATGTACTGTTATTATTATACAGGATGATACCGTTCAAAATGAAAATAGTATAATGGATATTTTATTGAAACATATAGTATATATAACAATAAGGTTGATAGGTGTGTGTGTGTGTGCCATGTTTTGAATACCCGCGCTTGAACAACTTGCAACAAGAAATTCCGACAATATTATTTCGCAAACCAGAGGTATTTTCAATAAAACTACATATCAGGGAGTACTTTAGATGTTGATACTAATCGACTCAAATCATTGTTCGACAACTGATTTGGTTCATGACAGACAAGAATCAAATTATGTATTTCACGGTTCAGTTCTGGTTGTTTTTTAATTTTTTCCCTAAACTTCAGGTAACCCAGGAAATATGTCTCTTATCCGTCCTCTGTTCAACACATCAGTAAAATCGTTAGAAAATTCTATATGACATATTATTATAAAAGGTATAGGACCGTCCTGCGTTTGATTGAAAAATAGCATTGATTCGAGCCCTATCGGGTATATCAATTGAAAAATTATCAAGAAATTTAATGGTAGGGAATGATGCTGAGAAATAGTTGTTTGGAGACACAATGGTAATCAAGTCACCGTTTGTTGATTGGAAAATATGTTGTAAAGTGTATTGACGTAATTCTGTAGGAACATAATCGACAAGAAGTTCAGGCTGAGATGGGATAATCATTTCGTTTAAGTCTAGTTTCCATATAAACATATCATGTGCAATATATAATCGGTAATTTGAAAACTCTGGAGCAATAGCTAAAAACATAAAATCTGGAATAATATCACACAAATTTTTGAGGATCGGCTGCTTACGAGTTGTAGATCTTATAGTTGTTGTTGTTTTTGGTATTGCTGATGCGGTGGTAGACGTTGGGATTGAATCATATTTGTTTTTTCTTCCATATAGATATTGTACTGCATTTATATCATCAACATCTAGACCACGAATCTCATGCTGATAGAAGGCAAACATAATAGCATTCGGAGAAGCACTATGTGCTATGCCGAGAGCATGTCCAATTTCAT